ATAAGAGACAGCCTCCGGTCCGTACGGGCTTGAGCCTTGGTACCGGCGGGGAAGCGGGGCACCCCACGCCACTGCTGGAAGCGCTCGGGACGCGGCGGTGCTGCGAGTGCCTCACCTGCCTCTGAGAGAGCGAAACCGAACTCCAGGTCTAACCAGTTGTCCATGGGAAAGCAGAGCAATACGTTAACGCTGCGGGAAGCGTGTGTCAGTGTTAGCGCTTTTGCACTATCCCTGGTCTAATGTCCTACATCTCGTCCCCATTTCTTTGGGAACAACAAACTAGACTTGCGGTTTAAATAAATAAGCATTTGGCTTAGTAATTAGCACAAACCGTGACTAAAACAAGATTGCTGTGAGTGGCAAGTTTAATTATCTGTTTCTTTACTAAATTTGATTTCAACAGTATCTGTTTCATAACGCTTTTAGAAAAAGGTTTCAGAAAAGCTTGTCGGTTTTGTTTGTTTGTTTTTTAATTTCACTACACTGAAAGATACTCACAAAGAGCAATGCTCTCATCCCTAGAGTAGGTTGATTTGAATGCTTCTCCCAGTCTCTTTCCTCTTCAGGTCCAAAATACATTTAACAGGTAGAAATAATCTATGCACTTGAGACATAGATTGGGTTAATATTCAATATGGGATGATGTCAACCATATTCTGTGATCATTGTCTTTCTAAATATCTGAAATCTTTACCATATTTAAGTTGTTTTACAGATTACTGGAAATACTGAACAAGCTATGCTCCCTGTGGTCATGTAATTTTAGTAGAACAGGCTTTGTATTTTAGAACTGTAAAAGTAGTTTTAAGAAATTGATTCCTGAACATCATGGAACTTCTAAATGTACAGAAATACCAAACCGACTCATAGTTTATAAAGCTATCTGGTAGAAGTATATTTAATTGCATGTGGTAGATCTAAACAGTTTGTTGTTATGAAACATCCAAAGAGGAGAAATAACATTATGCACCTTTAAAATCTTCACTAAAAATTTCTTTTTGAGGTAGATGAGAACAAGCCGTTAAAGAAAGCCAGATTAATTGACAGAAAGTCTTTGAAAACATAAAGGAAAAATTATGTAGAGTATTAAGAGTGGGACCTCTCTGGTATCCAATATGAAAGTCTCTTAATATATTCAGGCAAAGTCAAGTAAGTGGGGAGTAAAGTGGAAATCTGATTCTGAAAGATGGGTTGCATCCGCTGCCAGCAGCTACTGTCATCTGCTGTGATTCTGTAGGAGCAAAACACATTAGCTAAGATCTTATTCCTGCAATGCAACCACAGCATATGCCTGTTGATTTCAAATTACCATAACAACAAAAAAAAAACCAGTCAAAATATAGGCAAAACTTTAGAAGTCTATGCTTTTTGAAATCTATATTACAAAAATATCTTGGTGTGGATAACTGAATAATCTTATTTTTGTGCTATATGCCCACCATTATTTCCCATCCTTTTCACAACAGCAAGTCCCAGATCTTGTGTGAAGGCAATAGTATCCTTTCACTAAATGCTTTATAAACCCTGGAAGAATGTACAGCTTAAACGCAGCCACATTCTGTAATTTTCACAACCCAGTATTGGTATGCCCAAGAAGAATAGTGAGGATAACATCGTATTATGCACAGAAAAAAGTGTTCAGTCCATGGAAGACGTGAAGAAATAGTTTGTGCTCTATGAAGGCATTGCCATAGTCATGCCCTTGCCAAGAAAAGCTTTTAAAGTTTAATAGAATGACATGGTAGATCTGTACTCATGTTCTATATAAAAAATTACATTTTCTTTAACTGTGTTAACTGTGTACAAGAACAAGTAATATCTAAAATGCAGGAAAGTAAAGATTTTTTTTTTTTTTTTTTTTTTTAATAGTCCACCCGAGTTTCACCACTGGGCAGGACATGCTCCTGGTTTTGTTATTCCTAACACATCTGTGCTCTGGTCTTATGTCATACGATTTCTGCTTCTGCATGAGGAGTAGGAAGGTGTCAATGTGTAGGACCTGGGGGTCACCAGGACATCCCCTTGTATATCTCACAGGACTGGGGGCTTTGGGTCTTGTTTCCTTTTGTTTGAACTCTGAGGGAGTCAATGTATTCTCTCACAAGCAAGCAAACAAACAAAATGGGAGAAACTGAAAATATGAAGAGAACTTTCTAAGATTAGCCTACTGGATTTGCTTGCAAATGAAAACCACTGTAACTTCTCCATAGAAGACAACACAGTGCTGGCTCTTTGGTTAAAAATCATTGAGCAACTATGATGGATAGGACCAGAAAAAAAACAATGATTTGTATTTCCCAGGCAGGTAAGCTATAGGCTGAGAGAAATTATAACCGATTTATATATTTTCCACTGTTTTTCTTTGCAGTGGAAGAAGGCATATCTTCAATATATAACCTTTGTCTTTATTTAATAACATTTTCTTATAAACAGGTGAGAAGTAAGAGATGCTTTAACAGGACTAAGATAAAATTAGTCAGGTTTCAAAGTTAAGGCACTATTTAGAAATTAAAGAATTTTGTTCCTGCATCTGTAGCCTTGTGCTATGATGTCAAAATGCTCCTGCCGGACATAGGTGACAACTCACCCTTACCTTTAGGCTACTGGGTGGTGTGGGAAAGTGGTCTGCCTGCATCCATCATACTGGATGTGCAGGAGATTGTTCAGGCTCCTTTTCACACTCATTATTGTGCAACAGAGACCCAATCTGCTATGCAGTGCTTAGTGTAATCAGCCAATAATGGTAGTTATTGCAAAGAATGTCTTCATGCTCTTTTTACTCTCATTTCCCATCTAAGTTGGAAAATAGTAAAGTTGCCCTGGGCAACTTCATGCTTTAAGAAATATTGTTTATGTTATTTTTGTTGTGGCCTACTTACATATTTTATAGGGAAATAAGGCTTTTGCTTTAAAACTAATAATGGCTTTGTAAGATAACTTCAGCCACAGCATGGAAAGTACAGCACAAGTCATGTAAACACAGAACATTGATAGCGGTTTTACAATTTTCTGACTCCAGCACTCCAAAAGGTTCCCCCTTGAAGTAAGCAGGATAAGTGGATTATCCATACAGATTCAGTGACTGAATTAGGCTTTCACTTCATTACTAGTGAATTCAGCTGAAAAGCTTTTGCATGGACAAGATTCTCTTTTCACGGGACGGGTAAGGTAAATCCTAAATCTACTAAAAACTGAGAACATGGTGCCATTCCTACTACCTGAGCAAAATAAAACTGTTATGTTCAGTACAGCCCAATAAAGCCTTGTCCATCATCATTTAAGTTACTATCTAAAATGTAGTTTGATTAAGTCTTTTATTATTGGAACTTTTGGGAAGTACTTGCTTGCATATCTAAACTATTTTTTTCTTGCAGTGACAAAAAGTGAAGAAGTAGAAATATGTATGGTTAAACACTTGCGAGTAGATCGAGAGGAGAAATATGAAATAGTTGAAAAGTGGTTTTTGAAAGATCTACAGATGATTGATGGAAAAGAAGCAGATACTGTACGTGTTATGTATTATTAAATACATATATTAGAGTATACTTTTCTTGTGTTGCAATTTGGGATTATTGCAATTAATGCAATTAAAATGCATTGTCTGAAAAAGAAGAGTATGTAAAAAACCAAAATAAATCAAACCTCCAAGGAATTTTGGTTTTATTGCATGTGAGAAGCTCCATATCACATTTGCACTGTTGTGGGGGGAAAGGGAAGGAGAGAATTTCTTGTTTGTTGTGTTCTTCATTTCTCCAATTGAGATCTGAGGGACAAGCTGGATGTTTTCTAGTTTGTTCATCAAAACTGGGAATAAAAGTTCTCCACCTGCAGCTTCTAGCGTAAACGAGTTAATTGCATAGATTTTCATGCATATTTGAAAACAAAATTTTGTTAAATATTTTTATGGAGAATGTGACCCAGTCATTTGAATGTATGAACCTGTTCTCTGTGTGACAGTGTCTTGCAAGTGCATGGTTTAGTGTACCAGCTCACAAAGTTGTGCCTCTTTCACATAACTTGATCTCATATCACTTGGATTAATTAAATAGTTGTGTATTTGTGTATGTAAACAGCTTTGGCTAGATCTGGCTGACTTACTACTAAAAAAGTCCTAATCTCTCAGATACAACTTCAGAAGGGTAAAACAAGGCTGCAGTAGTACACTATAGAACAACACCAAAAGGAGAATTAAATCCTATTTTACAAAAGCTGGAAGAATATGCCAAGAGGAATATATTACTACATGTAGGAGAAGCCATTTTAAGAGTCACCTGTGCATAATAATGTAGTCCAGGAAAAAAAAAAAAAATTACTTTTTTTCCCACTGAATGTGCTTTCAAATGAACATAAAATATAATTCAGATTACATTATCCTAGTGAAGAACAAATCAAGAGCCCACAGGAAAGGTTTCAGAGCCTCGCCCCAAGGAAAATGACAAACTGTGGTTATTCTCCTTCTGTCCTGTGCACGTTATCCTCAAGTCTGAAACTAGGAACTTGGGAGACAGAGGAGGTGGGCGCAGGTTCAGAGTATCCCTGCACCCTGCAGTTTAGGCCAGAGGGGGAAAAATCCCCAAACCTAATAATACGTTACATTCTTTCTCCAAGTCCTGGAGATGTTCCTGTCCTTTTCCCAGCCAAGGCAGCCAGAGGATTTCCTCATCTCTTGCCTGCATGAATTTACTTTAGGTTTTTCCTGAAGTGTTTTGCTAAAATATCCTTCAGAGATGATTCGGCCTTCCACAACTGGAATGATCAAAATCTGTCTCATTTTTCATTAAAGAAAAGCCTAAATGAACCTCGAACTCATAATTATAGGGTGATTAACACTGCTATAAATATGCCTAACAGTTACTCATATCCATAGAATTTACAGAATTTAGCTACAGCTAGGATTAATTGTGCCAAAGAGCCAGAAAGCACAGAGAATTACAATTTAGGCAGGAAGAGCAATCAATATTCTTCTTCTGACAGGCATATACAAGTGCTTTTCATATAGTGTGTTTTAGGCAACATGACAAATTGGTTCATTTCAAAACAAGATTGTATAATCCCAAGAAACTGCTGCATATCGCTTGGGCAAATTCTGGAAGTTTTACTCAGGCAAAACTCCTAATGGCAAAGAATAGCAGATATATATATATATATATATATATGGCTACTTTGTAAAGTTTTAAAAGACTCTTTAGTATGAATAGCCAAAATACACAAAGTCCTTTCGAGTCCATCAAACTGAGAAAAAGCCCTGAAGGTAGCTGGGCAGAGAACAACAGACTGCCATTCTAACATCTGTAATGAATGTTGTAATTTCATTCTCTCTCTGTTTTTTCAGGATAATCCATATTTTGATATGCACTTCCACAGAGTCTACAATCTGGAAGCATATAGTTGTGCATCTAAATATACCTTTGCTCGAACACTAAACAAACTGAATGAAATGTACCTTAAGAAGGACTTGAAGATTGTGAACTTTGATGACACCTACCTAAATGATGATTCAATCTGGTCATCCAACAATAGGGATTGCTTAGTACTTATGAGGATATGCTTCTACGCTTCCAACCTTTTATGTCTCTCCTTGTGTCCTTTGTCCTAAAGATGCATTTTCTAACATTAAGATGACTGGTTGACTTTCACTGACCAGCTTTTCATAAATAATCTGATCAAAAAGATAGTGAGTGATATGCAGTATCTGCTTTTTAACATTACATATAAGTAAAAAAATGGAACATACTTTTTACATAAACAATTGACCATTTATTTGCATATATTAGGAGAGCCTCACTCTGGCAAAAACTGACAAATATATGAGATTTTCAACATAGCACCAGTAATTCTCATGGTCAGTGGTGATTACTTATGTAAGTAGAGCTCAGCATTTGCTCATATGTTCATAGAGGTATAAATTGTCTTCCGTTAATAGCTGGAAAGCTATTTTTAAAGCATTAAGAGCATTAACAGTTATTTTTTACATCCTAGAAGTAGAAAAAAAGAAAGCAACCAAGTGAGTTCTGTACAAGAATGATGCACATTTCCACTTTAACTCCATTAAAGAGATCATGCCTACATCAATACAAGAATCCAACCCTCATCCCGATGAATTGGAGTTTTGCATTCGGGTACCATGGGACCAAGTTTTCACCTTTTGGCCTTTCCATTATTTGTGGTACTTAGAAAATGAACGTTCTTAAGCATAATTGCTTTATATATCAGATGTTTCAGAACTTTTTTTGTTTTATATCATTAACATCACCTTCCTGGCACTTTATTGTTTATGTGTATGAACAGACCCAGTTAGGAAACAGAAATTATTTGCTCTACTTCTGAACCAAGAGTTAACAAAATACTATGTAAACAGCAGTTGCTGGCTACTACAATTACTTCATAGGCAAGTGTAGACTTTTCAAAATTCATAGAATTATGAAAATAATTTTTACCAGTTTATAGCTTTTTGTTGGCATATTCAATGCACCACTTAAGCATGTATTAGTAGAGTTACTTTATCATGGGTTGGAGTCTACTGAGTGGTTTGGAAGATCTCACCCGTAACAAAAAATAACAGCTGGACTTGTGACAGCATGATATTACAGTAGAAACAGAGGATGAATTAAAGCTGTATTCAAGACCTGAAGAGGAACAAAGTTGACAATAAGAAGCACAGTGATATTGCCCAGTGTCAGTCAACTAAGCTAGCTGGCTGCTCTTCCCGTAGCCAACAGAGAAAGAAATGCCAACCCAAAAGGTGATTGGGAGAAGCTTCTGATCAGAATGCCCTGCAGGAGAAAATTTGCTTTCCTGTTTAGCAGCCAGGAGAGTACAGGGAGACTAGCTGTGGATTAAACCAGCTACAAACCTACAGTTGACCAATGTAAATAGCTCCTAGGAAGTCATGAGCTGGTTACTGTCTTCTCTCAGTACCTGCCATCTGTAAAATGGAATAGTTGTGCAAGGGTACTGTGACTTGTACTTCACTGTTGTCTTTCACAGGGACTCCCACCTTTGAAAACATTTGTGTAAATGTATTTTGGATTCAAAGTTGAAGTAACATCAAATGAGGAAGAATATATTTGAAAAACTGTATATAAAATGTACAGCTTTCTACGTTACTTTTAAAATGTTATCCTATTGCTTGTATATAGGAAAGGCCATAACTTTGATTAGCTAATCTTCAGAAGCTATATATTTATCTAAGCATATGTTGTAAATTACATTCATTCTAATAGAAATCTTAGTAATTATGCATTATCTTGTCAGTTGTGAAGGTAGTTTATGTGGGTAACACAAATCTTCTGGAATTTGTAAGAACTTAAGTCTTACATTTGCCACCTAAATACTGTTAGAGAGAAGGACTGTATTTATAGTAATTCATAGTAAATGCAGTTGTTCTTTTCAGGCTGTCTTTGGGATAATCCAGTGCAAGGATGTGGGTTGTAACATGTGGTCCAAAGCTACTGCAACTATTTGCCCAACATCCAGGTTCCACAAAACCGTCTTCAGTAGCAAGTATAAATCAGACTACTGTTACGTATGATACATTGTTGCGTTTGGACTGTGTATTAATTGTAGAGGTTACAATGTTTTCTGTAATGTTTACAAATTCTTTGCTTAATAGGCACAAGGAAACATTTCCTGGGTGGAAAAGCTCCCGTCTTTCATCTTGTAATTGTAAGAAAAACATAGAATCTCTAATACCGAGCACTTCAGAGCATTCTTATGAAATAAAGTACAGGTGTAGTGAATTCCTGACCAATAATTGTATCGTCTTAGAAATGGGTAAGCTAAAAATGACTGTAATGTTCAACAGTATTTAATGGACTTGCATCAGTAGTTTATATCTTTCTATTCTTGTACTGTATAAACATTAAGTTGACTACATTAGAAGACAAATAACCCTGCATTTTATGTGGAATTATATGCTATTAAAATCTGTTTGGCATTTCTTCTGTCTGTTAAAATAATATTTCAGTTATTCTTCACTAAGTGATCAGACTAAGCAAAAGGAAAGACGTCCATGTAAATTATTTCAGTTATTATCACAAGGAAAAATATTTCAAAGATCTTTGTGGACCTAATCTAGGTACTCCTTGCATTTATACAGTTCTTTGTAAGATGTCAAATACCAAGACACCGTGTAATTGCTAGTGATCTGATTGCACTATGGAAAGTCTTTGTCCTGAAATGCAGGAGACTGTCACTTGCGGTTAGTATAGCACAGCTGCACCACAGGAGATGAAGAATATGCTACATGATAAATGGAAAAGGTCTGACAGGCTAAATAGTACATCGTGCAGTTAATGCAGAAGTGTTTCCTACATCACATTTCCTGACATTGCATACACAGAATACAGTTTGAAATAATTCATCTGCTTCTCCTGGAAGACTTCTCTAAAATTGAGTAGGAGTAAACTTACAGGAGTAAAGGGTTATCATAAATGGATCTGTAGCTTTCTTATAAAAGGTTTCAACTAAATGATGAATTAATATGTGGGATTGTGGATATAATGTGGATTTTCTTCAGAACAGAGGAATTGTTACCAGCCATATCTGTTGCAGAAAAAGAAAAAATATGGCAGCCTGAAAAGGAAGAAGAGTGATAGTGAGCAAACAGAACTTCACGCTCACTTGTTTAAGAGGCAGAGAGAGAAGAGAATTTTTCATAAAAGACAGATTATGTTTTTTTCCTAAGTGTATTTTTTTAAACCCTAACCAACATCAGAACTAAAAATACGGGAAGACCTATGACAAAAGAATTTGAGAATATTTTGTATTTAGCATTTATCACTATCGGATATGTCATATTCTATACTTTAAAAAAAACCCAACCCAACATCAGTTTCCTGCAGCTCCATGCTATAAAATAAAGCATTTAACATCATTCAGATACGATAGCTCCATATTAACCAAAAAGACACTGGTGAGATTCCACTGGAGTTCATGGATTTAAGATAATTCTCACAATCGAAGGACCCATGGCCTTATATTTAAAAGAGAAGGACTTTTCCTCTGTGTTTATCTTTCATGCATAACTAATCTTTTCTTGCATCTTAAATTAAGCTAATACAAATCAATGCAGAATTTAAAAAATAATTTTGGAAGTGAAACAGAGCAGGTAGAGGAGCCTGTTCTGGGCTGTGACTTAGAGGTTATTTCCCCTTATTCTTCCCCTTTGTATGTTGGAGTCATAGAGTAACCCGCCTCTTCCCAGTAAAAGCCTGTATTACTTCTTTCCCTGTCATCTACCTATTCCCCAATATTTTCAGTAATTTTCAGTATATAAATCTATAATTATTGTGGTAAACTGAGGGATTGTATTACATAATTTGTAATATGTCATTTACAAATAGTTTATCATGAGTTGAAGTCAGCATTGGAAGATCAAAGCCCCTTTCTAAAGACTAACTGTGGGAAGCTGAAGTAGGAGAGGAGGCAATGGCACTGTGCATCCTGTAAGATGATCTCATGTCAGTTTTAGCATGAGCAAACTATGGGTTTTGTGGGGTTTTTTTTGTTTGGTTGGTTGGTTTTGGTGGTGTTTGTTTGTTTGTTTGTTTGTTTGTTTTTCTGCCCTGAAGCAAAATTAACAGCTAAAGATGAGAAACTAGAAGGGTTTTGACCACCACCAAACAAAAGCTTTATGAAACCCTGTCCAATCTTTTATGGCTGCCTTGCCCAGTCTTTATAGATCTAGCCACAGACAGTTACACTTTTGTGGCTGAATTGAGAAGTTACAAAACTGTAACTTCTCTTTTAACCTTGGCCCTCATGAATGATGAATTATAGAAGCATACATCATATTGTTTTGTAAGTCAGAAATAGAAGTTCTTTCAGCAAGAGTATCTATTGTTCAGTCATGTTTAGTGCTTTCAAACAAGCAGAAAATTTATATAGGAATGATGAAATCATTTTTACATGTTAAAAGTCCATGTTTTGGCTATTTATAACAATAACTTGGAAAAGATGTCTTCTGTTGTTCTTCATGAGTCATGGCCTGGCTAATAAATTTTATTAACCATACCTGAAAGGCATACTGGTGTATTAATGTGAATAAATCATGCAGTTCAAGTAATCTGCAATGATTTCAGCCTTCCCTTAATTCTGTATGCAAGCCTTGAGGAAATACTATATTAATTTACATGAATAATGCTAAAAATGCATGTAGTATCTTGATCATGTGGAGAACTTCTGTCACAGCGAAGTTTGAACTGGAAGGTAGTTCCAGTTCTCAGTAAAATCAGTGGCCCAAGTAGCTACAGCTAGGTTTGGACATCATTTCTCCTGGTGAGCTTCCAAATCCTAAATGTCACTATCACTAGTCACAGAGCAACATTTCCCTCCGAATTATCACTGCTGTCAAAGACTCTCAGTTATTAAGGATGCTTCTGCTTAGGGGTAAAGCCAAAATCTGAATGCTTTTCACTGAAGTTATATTAATCCTGAAGCTGTGGCCAAGTTGTATTACAGTCATTCTGTTGCAGCTGCACTTGTAATTTGAAATTCTGAGATACTGTCATGTTGTAATGTGTTATATCTTTCAACCATGGGTATATCTGCATTTCTTTTGTGAGTACACTTGTCTCCTAAAAGACATAAAACTTCTTAATAACTCTGCCATGAGGTCAGTTTAGGACACAGACATCAGAATCAAGCTGACATGACATTGGTTTTGCTTTTGGTGCAACCCATGTTATTTTTCCCATGTCATTTTGCTCTTCTGTTACAAGCCCTTTGACGGCAAGAGCTCTCCCATCATACCAGCATGTGAAACACCTCTTGCAGGTTGCAGTACAGAGATCTTACTTGCTTTTCTTTCTCCACTCTTCTTGCTGGTTTGGTTTATGCCTTGTAATTACACTGTAGGGTTTTACCAAACAGCTGAACAGACCTAACCATTCCCAGCTACTGGAGGGAGCTTCTTCTCTTCAGCTCTTTAGAGCCTGGCGAGGATTTTCAGGCTTTTTCCTTGTTTCTTCCCCTACATGAATCAACCCACCGGAGGTGGGCAGGACCTGCCTCGGGAAGGCGCACGCAGACACAGTGGAAGGGGGACCACCCTTTCCAAGGCACCGCTAAACACCCTCTGGGGTCCCTTTACCACGGGGCGCTGCCAACCGTGTCACCGGCGAGGCCCGGCTCAAACCAGGCCCGGCCATCCACAGTTGCCGCTCCCGCCTAGCAATGCCGCCTGCCCGCCCCGTCGGCTTGCAGTGCCCGGGCCGGCTCGGCCCCGCTGTTAGGGCCACGGCACGACGCCGGCCCAGAAAATTGTTAGTCAGAATCAATGGAGTTTTACATTGCCATAGGGGTGTTGTATAAATAGCATTTCTTTGGTTGCCCTGAGCTCTGTACAGTTGATGCTGCTGATCCCAGCTTGATATGTTTGCCCTTGTTTTCTCAAAGCCTTAGGTTACTAATCTTTATAACTGCCAGATTGCCTAAAATGAGGGATGTGGTGGTGGCCAGCTGAGCTGAGGCATAGTGGGACATAAGACTAAAAGGAAAGTCAGTGCCTTTTCTGTTTCAAACACTAAGAGAATGTTTTTGTCTCAGCTGTGTGTTTGCCAGAGCAAGCAACCCAGGCATCTCCAGGAGAAAAATCCAACCTAAAATTTATCTCCATATATCATCTCAGCATCAGGTGGTGTAGGATGTGACATATACTAATAATGCTTTTAATGCAACTGTGGCATTTGAAGGCACAAGTTCAGAGTAATATTGGAGCTTCCATATTTAAATAAAGACGTTGAAATGTGATCTTTTAAGTGTTACTCTTTTTAATCTACCTACAGTCTCTCTGTAGTGTGAGGAATGGTGAATATTGCTAGTTACTTAATTTTCTGGAGCTTGGTGAGGTTTTTTGTTTTTTGTTTTTTTTTAAATATGATTCATCTGTGCAATCTTGCGTATTGGGTGGTGGTGTCCCATTCCCCCACCCTACGCCCCCGATGTTCCAGAATCTGGTAGGAATGAGACCACACTTTGTTAGGGAGCCAGGTGATTATACTGAAATTTATCTTGGAAGTCTCTTTAAGACTTTGGTGACTTCCTTGGGATTTTCTTTTTGTTTGGTGTGTGGTTAATTTAATGTTGGTCTTATTTTACCTCTGCATATTATTCATCATAATTGAACATGCTAGAAGTACAAATGCTTTCCTCTATGTTGCAAACTTACTTGAAGGCATTACCAAAGAAAATCACAACTCTCTGTGAAAGTTTTTAAACAAACATGTTGTTAATGCATCCCCCAAATCTGAACAGCTTTCTCTTATAGCAGCTGGCTGCTGTTATTGCAGGGGTAAATCAT